CGTATTCATATATGAATACAGATACCCCCGCACAGCTGGAAGGCTAGAGACAGAAATGAAATGTGGTACACAATTAGCTCCATACTGTAGTTTTCTGTTTCAAGCTATTTAAATATAAGCAGTAAAAAATTATAAGGTACTATAGAAAGAGAGTAAACTACTCAGAATATAAGCTTCAAATATTGCATATTACTATATCACCTGAAATACACCTGGTAATTATTGGCGAATGCACCGAACAGAGGATGACTTTTTTTTAAGAAGTAGTGCTAAGGATCAATGGCACATTTATTCTTATAAGAGTGTTTTGATTTCGGCATGTTACCAGGTGATGTAGAAGAAAAAGACTGAGGATGTTCTCTTCTTCTAGCGAAGAATGCCAGATTTGGTTAACAAAAAATGCTTTAAGTTCTCTTACTTGATCAGGAAATAAACCTGTATTGGATTTTGGTAAAATAAAAGTGCATGTTGTTGGTATCCATTAATCAATTATTTAAAAGACAGTATTAGTCAGAATGCCAGGAACACTTAACTAAACGTGTACAAACACACTGTCACGTTCCTGCCTGTCCCTTGGTTGTTTCACCTATCAAAGGGCACAAGCTACATGTCATATTGCTGACACCAGTTGATTACATCAACATTATGTATTATTAATAACAGAAGTCCAGGCAATGTGTCATTTAAAAAAAAGAACCAAAGAAGAGTTATTTATTATTACAGGTGATGAAGGTACAATTAATGTCTTTAACTCTTAAGAAAACATCCTACTTCATCCACTCTCAACTGCCAATCCTCTCTCTATCCACCCCAAACTCCAAAAACACCCAATCCCCCAATCTAAAACCTCTCAACCTACCAACCTCTAAAATTCTCAGTCTCTCAAACTACCAATCTCTCAAACTTTCAGTCTCTCCATCTAAACAACTTCTCCCTGTTGCAGAGAATCTTGTAAACTTTCAGTCTCTCCATCTAAACAACTCCTCCCTGCTGCAGAGAATCTTATGACTCTGCCTCTCCAGCACTCTCAATGGTCCATGAAGATAGCTCATTAATATTCATGACCTGGGTGGATGCCGCAGACATGCATCAAGTTGAACAGTGGAACTCCACATGCCCATTTCAACCAAAGAGGTTATGGAAGATGCCATAAACATCATACCTAAAAGGTATATGTAGCACAAACTCTTTAAAATATTCTCAAAATATTTTAATTATAAAAATTATAATTTTACTTTAAAATTATATATGATTAATTTTCAACCAGGATTATCTTCTCTCTCTCTCTCTCTCTGTGTGTGTGTGTGTGTGTGTGTGTGTGTGTGTGTAACAGAATGCAATCTTGTCCTTAAGAAAAAGGAGATCAGTCTGCCTTGATTCCATTAAAGGAAACACTTCCATCACTGGATATGTCTTCTTGGATCCTGGCTGATATGCATACCTTTTCTATAAAACAAATAGCATAAGAGTAAAAGTTAAGAAGCTTCTCTTTTTCCCAGCAATGGTCTTCCGCTTCACAACACACCCTGAGCCTTAGCAACTACATGACAAAAGATGAATAAAGGACATCTGAAAAGAGACATGGAACAACGTGCAATGTTCAATTCAAACCACCCCCACTCCCTACAAAATTAGATGGGCAACACATAAGTATATTACTTTATGACTCAATATCCTAGTCAGTATCCTTCTACAACACCATCTAGCACTACTTGCCTTAAACTTGAGAAAATTACGACTCTCCTGAAGAGGAGAGGCTCACTGTTTCCTTAAAGCCTTTTGGGAATATTTCTACAAATGAGACTTAACACTATCTTGTTCAGGATTAAAATGCCACTGATCTGTAGCAACTTTCTAGACCTCTGTAATGCTGCAAATCTAATTCACATCATGTATGTAACTGCTTAGCAGGTCTAGTTCAATTTCAGGGGAAAGACAAAAGAATGAGTAGACCTGCTTGGTTCTTATAAAAGCAGAATCCCCTTTCGAAAGCTGAAAGCCACCTGACAGTGGTTTTCTCTGGTATCTCAATGTCAGCATTCAGTAAGCCTCAGCTTACCTCTTCAGTAAAGGCACCAATTTTAAATTCTTTATACCTTGCGTCTCCCAAATGTGTCAATGTGTTCCCAGAAGGACTGCTGTAGTAATGAACAGATGACTGCAGCAAATATGGAAAAGGAGAGGAGGTGGGGGTATTTTTGAACTTAGCAGCCAACATGCAAGAAGAACAGCACCATGCAGAAATGGGGTTGAAGTGGGATTTGGCTTGTCCAGACGGCCATTTATTACAGAAACATATATATCTCAATAGCTGTCAGCTCCAAGCAAATTATGTTTAGCTTCCAACATTCACCTCTCAAGAGAGAGGGGACACTTATAATTTTTCCTTCTTTCTTATTCTAAATGTTATGGTTCAAAAAGCAAAAAAGCGTTCAGGTTTTCTGAGCAAAAAAGGGTTCAGGTTTTCATAGGTCAGTGCTCAAATCTTCTCTGCCCTTAGAGACTTTAAATGTTGAGACTGCATGCTTGAAACTGCTCCTCTTGGGGGCGTTACTGATACAGGAGCCAAAGCAAATAAAGTAGTATCCAAATATCAGAATTAGAGATGGGGGTACTGGTATACGAATATGAATATCCCCCACACAGCTGGACTTAATGAGGGTTCACTCAAGTCTCTGGAGGAGGCCTCACTCATCCTTCCAATCACTCCCAGAGCTCCGCTCTCTTCCCGCTCGGCTAGCAGCTCCAGGCTGCGGGGAGGGAGGACGAGTCTCCCTGCAGTGCTCCGGGAGTGATTGGAAGGATGAGTGAGGCCACTGCTGCAGCCGCCGAATGCATGAGTGGACGGTTCGGCCCCAGGAGCTGAAACCTGTTAAATCCAGCTGCACAGGGATATTCGTATACGAATATGAATTTCCCTATTTCTAATCGGAATCATGCTCAGCATTCCAGAGAATGGAGGCAGAGGCAAGATTAAGAACATAATACCAATTACCACACTACAGACAGCCTCAAAGTCATCTTGAAGGAGTGATTAAAACTTATGTAAGCTTTCAAGAGATGGTAAGTATAAAGGAGTGAGGGAGGGAGGAAGAGGTTCCTGAACATCATCCCTGAGAAGAAACTGCTACACAGTGGGCCTAGACTCTTTCCCACCACCTCACTGAAACTACCACTGCTTGGGAAGATAAATGGGTGTTCTCCCATTGTCCTTATGAAAAAGCAGCATCGTAAGCTCCCTTGAAGTTATAACTGGAGCCCAAAGACCCAACAAACCCACTTCTACTCCTCAACTTGGTACAGAGAAGTGCTGAACAAGGGGGCTAACTTTATCATAGTTTCATTTTTCTTGTTTATATTTTCCCAACATATAAAATAAAAGCCTTGCTTTGGAATTGAGATCCACAACTGTTACAACAGGTCCTTTAACATGTGCACACTTGTAGACAAGAGGACCCCTTATTCCCAGGGGTCAAGCACAAGAGTTATACAGTACCTATAAAGTGGCTCACTCTCCTCACGTTTCAAACAGGCCCAAACAGATTATGTATCCAGTTCCCTCTCTGAAAACCTCTAAGCCAGTGGTCTTCAATCTTGGGCCTCCAGATGTTCTTGGACTTCAACTCCCAGAAATCCTGGCCAGAAGAGGTGGTGGTATAGGCTTCTGGGAGTTGTAGTCCAAGAACATCTGGAGGCCCAAGCTTGGGGACCACTGCTCTAAGGAATGAAATGATTATATTGTTCAAATTATTATTATTATTTATTTAATTTATACCCCGCCTATCTGGTCAGTGAGGACCACTCTAGGCGGCAAATATAAACAATCTTCCAATTGTTCCAATAAAACAACATTTGTCATCTTAATGGCCCCAAAACAAACCATATACAGGACACAAAGCATACTTCTCCACAGGTTAGAGGGGGCTCCAGGAAAAGTTAATACATGGACATATAAGATACCTAAAGCAATATTAAGCTCATGGCTAATTTTTAGCTGTTTTGCTACACAGGATAGCTCTAAAACTTGCCTTCTGCATATCACACATACTCTGTTAAATCCACCAACTTCAGGGGGACTTCACAGCAGGTTCCAGGAAAAGTCAGATAAATGAAACAAAAGTGCTGCTATAAGTACAAGATATGGCAGCTTCGCCATGCAAAATACTTTTTTGTTGATTTCCAGGAAAGTCAATCATTTCCTTTGAAAATCATTCTTTCTCTCAATGATTTTAGCTGAACATATTAACAGCTATAACTTATTTATTCTCAACATTCAGACACAAAAGAAGAAGAAAAATCAACAGATGCCATTCAAATGAGCCTAGGAAACAAACATAACTGGGACTTTTAAGTGGGGTTTGTTTCAGAATATCTAATTAAGGTTATGGCCCACGATAACCCAAATTAACCAGATTCTGCAAAAAGAAGAACATGCTGCTGCTACTGATAAAAGCTATGAAAAGATGTATGTGTTCCATTACGTTACTACATTATTTATTCTACTTCTGGTAACCACAGAGAAGAAAAGGTACAACATGGAAAGCACAGCTCCCAATGGCTGCAAATTTCAAAAGCCCAAGGCACTGGGGAGAACTATCAGCATACATTGCCCTATACTTTCGAGCATGTGTTTTCAACCGCAAGGAGTAGAAAGTTGAGTTTAAAAAGTAAACACAGATTTGTAGGAAGCTGAATTAGGCATTCTGAAACAAAGACAATTTTTAGGAAATCTGGATCCAGTACCACAATCCATACCTCCTCTGAAAGCACATAAATCAAAGCACTTCATAGTATATAGAGCAAAGCTACAATATAGACATATTTATCCCAAAATAAGGCATTCCAAGATTAAGAGGAAATTTTGGAATGTATCTGAACACTCCTCTTACTCTTCAAAACATGACAAAAGAAGAGAAGGCATTTAGACTAGTTACAAGAAGAATGAAATAACTTGGGCAGCTTCAAGAAATGGTCAATGACCATGGACAACTGACACTCACCACCAAATACATCTCCGTTCTGGTAGTTTTTCCCCTTCTGAGCTTCCTCTTCATTTTGTACAGCAGAAACATGCTTGGCTGATGCACAGCCCATAGTTTCATTTAGTCAGCTCCAGCTTTACTGAGCCGCAAACCATTTCTACAGATGTCCGTGCATGGTCTTTTTCCTCTTTTAACAGAAATAATCCACCTTCTAGTTTTGTAGTCCAGACACCGTTTGTAATCTGTTGACACAATACAAGAGAAACAAGAAGGGGAAAATCAGTAGGTATACGAGTCAAACAGCTATCACTGACACTTTCTATGGTGGAATGCCTAAAAAGAAGAAACAGTAGGGGTGACAAAAACTGTTTTACATATATTATCAATTAAACCTTTATCTTCTATAAGAATGAGACATGAGAAACCATGGTTTCTGCAGTCCTTAACACCCTTTTAATATCCACAAACTGCATATAAGGACAAAGGGAAAGGTGCTTTTGTCTTGGAGGACAGAGGACAAAAACAAACAAAATGCATTTGTCTTTAAAGAAATATAAATGTCATTACACACAAGAGAAGTGGATTTGATCAAACATTCTGGCCTTGCTGTACAATTACACAAGTTGGATCTCTGCTTCAACCTTGGGAATTCTCTAAGTGAGACGTTTATGGTGAGCAAGTAAGTTCCTACTGTATTTCCTTGTCAACATCTGTTCTGAACCTTTAAGAATAAGGTCAGCTGCTAGTGAAGGCTGCCTGAACCCCTCTCAGTCTGGCTTTCAGACTCAATGCAGTTCCAAACCTTCTCTTTATCTCTATCAACAGAAAGTATAGCTAACTTCCTGAATAATAATAAACCCACACAATTACTCCAGTTTCAGCCAGTTGTATCCAGTACATGCAGCACACATTGCAGGATCTCACTTTTCAGAGCTAAAATACAAATCCCACCTTCAAAACAGCAACAACAGAAAAAGGCCACCCAGTCCTTAATACTCAAAGAAACAAATAGTATTTGGAAATACAGACTAAATACCCCTTGACATGACACTCGTGACTTTGAACAAAATATTACAACTTTGGTCAATATTTTTTTTAAAAAAAAACTCTCCAAACTACATCGCCCTTATAATAATGGAGATTACCTTCCTGAAAATTCTCTCCATCCACAACATTCTTAGAATCATCACCTTGGCTCCCAAGTGGTTGATTTTAAAACCAACTGTATTACTAAGGCAACAGATCAAAGATTTTGGACACTCCTTTGGTAGGCTGTTTATGTCCATAAGTTTCTAGCCTAAACAATATGTTTGCACTTAAATGCAAGTGTTACTGTGCTATCCTACTATGTGTCAAAATTTAGAGGCGAGTACTATGTCACCTGGTGACACTGCGGGTTAAACCACAAAGGCTGCAAGGTTGAAAGATCAGCAGTTCGAATCCATGCGATGGAGTGAGCTCCCGTCGCTTGTCGAATCCACACGATGGAGTGAGCTCCTGCCAATCTAGCAGTTCAAAAGCATGTAAAATGCGACTAAATAGGTACCACCTCAGTGGGAAGGTAACAGCATTCCGTGTCTAGTCACACTGTCCACGTAACCACGGAAACTGTCTTCGGACAAACGCTGGCTCTATGGCTTAGAAACGGGGATGAGCATTGCACCCTAGAGTCGGACACAACTGGGCAGTTTGTCAAGGGGAATCTTTACCTTTACTGTGTCAGAACAAGAGGGCTGTGAAAATGTGCCAAAGGCTGAGCCCAGTGCCAGTCTCTAGAGAGACATAGGGTACCTTCAAGATACTCAGTGGCATCAATATTGTTGGAAATCTTCCTTGATTGTGACTTTACATTACTAACTTCTCAGTCTTAAGTGCAAATAAGCTCCTTAAGACAATTGTCCTTCAAAACCAACCTGCTTAAATGCACAGCAATCATAAGAGTTAGGTGTACTCTAGCTTGTCCTTTCAATTTACCCAGGATGAAGGAGAACACAAAGGGGTCTGGCCGGTTCTTTGTAGGAAACTGAGCATTGTTCCCTTGAAGGCCTCCCAAAATCCTCTGAAAGGGGCACTGTAGCTCACAAATAGAGAGATTGTAGGCATACATAAAGGTTGAATGGAATTTCTGAAGTTAGAAACTTTGAAAAACAGTGCTGCACAATACCATAGAGGCATATCTGCACACCTGGAACAGCAAGAAATACAGTGGGGTCTTGACTTGAGAACTTAATCCGTATTGGAAGGCGGTTCTCAAGTCAAAAAGTCTGTAAGTCAAGTCTCCATTGACCTACAGTGCATTGAAAACCGATTAATCCCGTAACAGGACGTTTTTGTTCCATTTTGGTTTTTTTCTGGTCTGTAAGTCAAATCTCAGTCTGCAAGTCAAACCTAAATTTTGCGGCCAGAGAAGTCTGTAACTCAAAAAGTCTGTAAGTCAAGCCGTCTGTAAGTCAAGGGTCCACTGTAACTCACTGATTTGCATAACTAAAAGAGTGCCATGTATTAACAAAAGTATACAATTCTAAGGCAGAAACGCTGGCAAACAGTGGTACACTTTTTCAATGACCAACAACAGTAAACAGAAGCAGTGCATTTATTAAGCAAGTCATTATTTCAATAATCAAGTCCTTTTCAATCCCCTGTTCATGTCTAAACTCTTTTGATATATCATTTGGTTTCTGAGAAACCATTTTAAACATTTAAATTTAGACCATAACAACACAAAATAAAAGCAAGCCTCAAACTCACACTTAAGTTAACAACATTTGGAGTTTTCTATCTAAAGACTTTGTAGAAAGGTTGACAAAGGGCTGTGAAGCAATTATAGATTAAATACAATGTTATTATTTTTTTTATTGTTTATTTAATTTATATGCCACCCACACTACCCAAAGTTCTCTGGGCGGCTTACAACATTTAAAATACAATACAATTTAGAACAATTAAAATATATATAAAAATTGCCATCGGACCCACATCTAATATTATTTCAATTAAAAGCCTTGTGGAACAGGAAGGTTTTGACCTGGCGCCAAAATGTCATCAGCGTCGGCGCCAGACGAATCTCAGTCGGGAGGGCATTCCATAGTCTGGGGGCAGCTGCCGAAAAGGCCCTTTGTCTACAAGCCCTCCCTCTTGCCTCCTTGAGAGACGGCTCTTTCAAAAGGGCCCCCTGGCTAGATCTTAACTGCCGGGTAGGTTCATATGGAAGGAGGTGGTCCTTCAGGTATGACTGATTTGGTGGGGTATTTTAACCAGTAGTTCATTTTATTTATTTATTTTTAACTTTGTTATTTGCAGCAGCTTTTGGTTTGCTGTTAATTTGCAGTACCAACAAAATCCCAACAGAAATCTCCAACACCTGTACTATATTCTGAAATTAAAAGTAATTAAAAAGACATTTCCCCCTAACTTCTTATCTTTGCATTCTTGATAGGACATGGTGTTCTTTTTATACCAGACAGCTGCTAGGAGCAGGTTTGTTTCTTCAGCATAAATCATTAGCAGGAAGAGGAGTTATTTGTATTTTTAGGGGGGAATGGGCTCACAGAAATAGCAGAATTGGCTACACTTCTTATGTCAAGGTACTGCTTTTATGCCCCCAACTTAACTCCACAAAAATGCAGCAAATTATTCACACAAAAGGCGTAGGAATGTTGTAACAGATGTATGCATTCCAATTATAACTTTCTATGTTTGTCTTTCTACAGAGAGAGTCAGACGAATGCTCGTTCATAAAAAAATACCATTTGAGGAAGGTTAGGCTGAATGAGAATAACTGATCTATAACAAACCACCCATGAACTTCATGACCAAGAATGGATTTAAACCCCATCAGCAACTTTAAGTCTAGCACTGCACAGCAGAATGCTAAAACAAAGAGCATAATTTGCTTAATACAGTACTGTATTTCATGAATTCTTCTTGAAAACTCAAGTTTCACAAGCAAATGACACATATTTGCTCTGAAGTTCTCAAAACTGTAGGGCAACTTATGTAGTTTCCAAAAATGGAAGCATTCTTTCCTGTGTATTCCATGTCTTCATGTTCTCATTTCTATCACACCTATACTGTACGTGTTCTAAGCACTGCATCCCTCCACCTCTTACACAACCTTGGAAACAATCCAACAAACATATTAATCCCCTCACATGTGTGCACCCCTACCTGCAAACACACATGCCTCTGCAAGTAATCTGCGGACCATGAACAGAAGCAGAAAGAATGGGGTAAAAGTGTGTTAAATAAATAAATGTTTCTATTATTATCTTGGCAGTAGAGCCTCTCTGTTTCTCTCTCTAGCAGAACATATGGTCAGCATCAGCTATTAAGTCAATTTTGACTTATACCAACCCTCCGAGAGTTTCCTAGATATTAAAAAAAATTTGTTAAAGTAATTTAACAATCCCTCCTTGTGGCCACACTCTTGTGCTATCTGTCAAAGACTGCACAGGGGGTAGTGCATATAATCTCATTAGCCACACTACTTTGATTTAATAAATTAAAATAGAAAATAAATTTTCCTTTCTTTATAAAGGGTCAGTATGACAAAATTTGAGAAACACTGTATTCACTTTTCTTCATTAGTCAGAGTTTAAACAAACATACACAAACAAACACTTTTGGATGGAAATGTAAGAATACAATTTTGGTTTCCCAGCCAATTAACTTTCAAACAGAAGAATGAAAAGGTCAAATAATTATGCATACAGATAAACTTTAAACAAAAATTTACTTTTTACTCAATGGAATTATCTCACCTCTGTGATACATCTGCCACAAACCATAACATGCATTCAGCATTTATTAAAACTTACTCAGTCATTTCCAGCTGTGAACTGATCAAGTTATTTAAAGTCTTGACTTGGACAGGATTGCAATTTGTAGTAGTATTGTGGTTTTATTTTATATTTTTCTTACATTATAATATATTATAACCTGCTGTGAACTGCTCTTGGATCTTTTGAACAGAACACAGATGATGATGACCATTCAGGGAAAAACCCTACTTTGACCAATTTTGCCCTTCTGTTAAAGTGAGCAGTTTTTAACACTTGTCAGGCTGATACAGACAACATCTGACAATCCAGTATAAGACTCCAAAAAAAAAAACCCCACACACAATCTTTTCGACTTCACGTTAACACAGCATGCACTCTACATCATACTTCTGCAGCTCCAGGTTGCACACAACGATTAATAGTGATGGGTAACCCCTCTCTTTCAGGGAATCTTGTCTACT